AAAAAAAAATAAAAAACAAAACCCAATCTTATCAAAACACCCTTCCAATTTTAACCAACTACCAACCCCCCCCCCCCCCCCCCCACCCCTGTTGAATTATTAAATAGGAAGTTTAGGGTGAGACCTCGCCTTGTGCATACGTGTCCTTACGGTGATGCCGAAGAACTTTTTGACCTATGTGAGGCGGTGCAGTTAGACTACTATGTTTAGACTTACTGAGCTGCCAAAAATGAAATGTAAAACGTTATGGCAGCCCATCTTGTAGCCTGTAAAATTTTCTATCTGACGAGGTATTGCCTGAATGTTTCTGTAGACTCAATATTTTACAAACAGGACTTCAGGCGAGCAAAGTAGGACAAATTAACGTTAATTAGTAAATAACAGAAGGAAAGAAGAAAATGATATTTTATGTATCGGATAATCTTCAGACATTTTTCTTTTGACCTATGCAAGAATCAAGTTTTCATTAAGAATGGAGAACGAGCAAAAAGTATTTTGAAAACCGTCCCAAAATGAAAAAGTTAACAAAATTTTCCAAGTAATTATGTTTTTTCTCAGTCAGATAATGTCAGTAAGCCGACAAAACTTCAGAACATATACTTTGAGATATCCCGCGGGATATCTACGGGATCCTGTACAAATTGGGGTTATGAAAGAAAATCGTATGAAAAAAAACAAAAAAGGTATGAAGAAAATCTAGATGGAGAGTCTCTCTTTTAAATCGGTAGTCCTGATTTGAAAATCTTCAGGATGCAGTCAGTTCTGTACCATAAATGTAATCATAAGAGAAGAAAGAAAGAATTGAGAAACTACGTTTTCATTCAAAAGTTTTGTAGAAACCGTTTTAAAAAGTTAATAGGTTTCTTAATCATTTTTTTGTGAGTTATTTTAAAGCAGGATACAGGACAGTCCAAATGTTGTGCATCTGAAAGGATTTCAAAATTTGTTTTGCTAATGAAAAGACGTTCCCCAGTCTCGACTACTCAAGAACTCAAAGCACACCTACAGCACTTTTCTCTCAAAAATGATTCAAAATATAGCGGTGTGTACCACATTCTGAACTAACTTCCGATTTAAAACTAATTAGACAAATGTCGAGCGTTATTTCTACATGTTTCTAATGTCCTGGAAAGTTAATTATTTTTGCAGGGAAAAGAGCGAAATCTGAACTTTAAAGATCATGGAAAGCTAAACTTTTTGTGATTGAGTTTGAATGAGAAAACCTTTTGATTCTCAAGCATCGCAGAAAAGTGCTTTTTTTCTTTATTTCTTCACTATAGCCTGAAAGGGACAGTTTTTTTTGAAAAGCCAAATAGATGAGAATATTGCCCATCCCAAACTCTATCGATCCTTTTACTTTTGCAAATCTTTCGGTAATTCGTTAACAGGAATAAAGGCGTATATAAAACTTAGCTTTGACAATAAATACTGCTTTGCGTCAGAAGGATAAAACATCGAGAAATCTGTTTTCTTCATGGCACAAACGGTAATGTGAGTTTGGGGACAATTGAATACTTGTTGGAAAATTATACTTTAGTAAAAGAACGAAGTTCGATCAGTATCTGAAACTCCATTGTGAGAGAGGTTGAAAAATCGACTTTTTTTGCGCCAGACGGATCGAGCTCATATTTTGAGAAATGAATAGTGACTATCACTTATTCATTTTCTGAAAGTTTTATCTTTACACATATAATGATTTCAAAGATAATTACTTTTATAGTTAGCGCTTAATGAGTAGCAGTTATTCTCGCTGAACGTAGCACTTTTGAACTGGACCAATTTTTTCGAAGAGAACGCAGTGTCTAGCATAATTCTTGATGACTGAAAGCTTTTTAGAGTGTATAAGTAGGCTTCTCTTGGTTTTTTGAGTGAACTTTGAGTTAGTATAGTTCTCTTTTGTTGCCTAGTTGCATAAGGGAAATCATCCTAAATGGCAATTCTACACAGTATAAGCAAGAAATGAGAAAATATAGTTCAGCTATAGAGATCAAAGGTACCGCTTACATTTTCCTTTATTTTGATATTATCATTTTCCACTTTCCTTTTATGCACACGTCAATAGATTATGGGACAAAGCAAGAAAAGAAAAGTTTTTATGTCATCCTGGAAACTCATCCATCTTTAGATTTCCAAAAGGTAATAAACAGTCTTTACTAAACAATATGAGTTTAGGCGACACTCTGTCAGTTTCACGTGTGTTTTCACTCTGTCAGTTTCAAGTGAAACAAATTAATTAGATAATATCCATTTCTTCCTTTCATCCCACCTGACTCAATAAATGTTCGTCACGATGACAAGCTAGTTTAACTTTCGAACAAAAAGATCAACAAAATTGCAATTTTTAATGTTTGTAGCCAGAATAATGACTAGAATTTTTATATGAGAAATTAAAGAAGTCAAATTGATAAAAGCAGAAGGTATGAGATAGTGTAATTTAGATATACTTTACATACAAGATGTATGTCTAATTAATGAATAATGTATGTTCGTGCAAATATGGAAGAAAAGCTCCATTTTTCAGCAATTTTAGCTCTCTTTTATCAATCATTATGACTAGATCAGTCATATCAAAATTCGACCGAATATTTGTAGAGAAGCTACCCTATAGCCCCCCTATTTTTACATATTTGGAATCAGTGTGACGAGTTACGTTGTATGGTACAAAGATCTCGACGGGATTCCGACAATTTTTGGGTCCGGTGGCCCCGCTATAGGCTTCATGGTATATTACCTATATTCAACAGCAGACATCAGATACACTTCGTTTACTTTCTTTTTCTTTTATCTTATTTTCTGTCTGCTTAATATATTTTTCTTCTGTGATCGTGGATTTTATGTGTGTTTTACGTTATTTTTCTTGAAGAGCAAAATAAGAAAAGGAAAAAATTGTATACTTCTGTCGCGATGTTCATTTCTTCTATGTTCGAAAGAAGCGGTGAATTTATTCTATATTCTACCAACTTCTCGAATGAGAATTAAACTAACTAGAGAGGACCCATTTTCACGTTTTATACTAGTTTGACGTACACAAGTTGTACTATATTTTGATGTGTTTTCCAGAAAAAGATCCCTTTTAGTTTTAAAGATATGTGGCCTCAATATTGATGATTAACGTTTCAAAACTCATACATTTTTCTTTTACACTCGGGAATTAGATAAACTCTTTTTGATCAGCATGACTTTCCGACTTTCTCCTGTGTCGTGATAGTTAGATTAATTATTACCGATTTACTGACCCATATTTGTCTTGTCCTCTTTGTATAGTACTAACCAGTAATTATCAAGTAAATTTGTGAAGAAGTTAAAAGCAATGACTCGATAAAATATTTCGTAAAATTTGGATGGATCTGTGGACTTTACAGGTATATAGAATATACGATTAATCTTTATTACCTTAGATGGAGCGTAAATACGACTTTATTCCAGTATTTTATCGAGTCTTGAAGAGAAATTTACGGTTATCTCAATTAAATTTTATTAGCGTCATAAAGAAAGCTACTGGTAATACTAAAAGATTTTTTTGTTTTAAAATAATTACATGATTTACGAATGTTGTCAAATTTCCGAGTTAAAAAAAAAGATTTTAATTTAATCTTATTTTGGTGTTTCATTTCTACTTTATTTCATTTTCTGCATACAACTAATGTCACTATTTACTGAATAGATAAAGTTCGAACACACATTATCCCTGATTATCATGACCCGACGAGAAAACCGAAAAGTCATAGTAGTCAAAAAGAGTTTTTTTAGCTGTTGAATATAACAGAAGAAAGTATAATTTTTAAACGTTAACCACCAATTTAGTTACAGATGTTGATGCATTCTAAAATCTAGAAACATTGCTTTTCTGTCTATCACCTCATCTGTAAAGAAAAAATAACTACACGTTATATGTTTATGCAATTACAAAACAAGGCAGTTATGTATAAAACAGTTCTAAATTACGTTATATCGGACTTAATGGACGGAATAAGGAAGTAACGATCCACCGACTGGAATATATTTTAAAACGCTTCCCTAACCTTCAATCTAATTGATACATTTTGACGAGCTTATACGAAACTAATTAAAAGCTTATCAACAATCTTGTATAATTGTACTCTATCGGATTGTACACCATTTATACTCAGTCAATCTTACACATATAAATCCTCATACACCTATTTACGATGGCAACAGAAAATACACATTTTCCTCTGCTGAAAACATAATATTTCTTCTCTTCTCACTTTCTTGATGTCATTTTTCTTTTTTTTGAATCTTTTTTCGTCTGTACGCATATATAGATACATACAAAAGATAAGAAAGTAAGAGAAGAATGAATTTTACATTTTCATGAAATTATTCATATAACAGGACAGCACTCACTTTGAAATTACCCTTAATTATATCAACGTTACGACTTAAAGTACAATTAACTAGAATGTAATTAACTGTGATTTTTACGTCCATCTGAAGTACACAAGTTAAACTCCACGCATCGATCAACTTTAGTGAATTAAATTCTTCTTTCCAATTAGAGACACATTTCGCTGTGGCCATTCGTAAATGGTCAGACCGCTGGTTGCTTTTTGAATAACTTTTGATAGGAATGAGATAGAGACCTGCGATTTTCGCTGTTCAATAGCCAAGACTTAAGTAGAACTTTTCACAAGCGAAAGCAACTTTTGAAAAAATTCCAGAGCTCGGGTTTTCAGAGGATCTTTGGAAAATCAGCTCCGTTCTCAGAAAACTGAACGACTAAAAATTCAATATTTCAGCAACAAAGCACCATGAGGATGAACCAACTTAGGGTATTTCACTACTCACTGAGGTCTACAAGATACAAGTAGTCCGAGTTCAAAAGCGATTTATAACCTCAAGAGGTTCGCTCGTAAGTTTTCTTTTTTCTTTCAAAGAATGTGCATTAAAAATGCTTGAAAATAATTCAACGACATCCAGCCGATGGTTTGTTGCAACGGATTATCAACCTTATAAGACATACATCAAAACAAACATACCATCAAATATCGAAGTCTTGAATCCTTCGATCCCGACTGATGGCATGTATCAATGTTCTGATGTTCAACAAGCACTCGTTGATTTATGGTCATTATCAAAATGTCAACAATTGATTCTTACATCATGGTCTTCATTTGGTTGGATGGCATCCGGTTTATCCGGTAAACATCCAATGATAGTCGCTAATAGTAAAAAATGCTATCAACAAACACATTCTCGACCATGTTATTATGAATTAACACATTTGAAACAATTATCCTGTTTTCATTCTTCACAAATGTTAAACAATGAAGATGAACAATGTTGTCAAAGTGGATTTTGTTCTCGAGATTGTTTACATCATGGATCATTAATTGGACATAAATTATATTTTGTAATTGTATGGCCGTGGCATTCTCTTGCCAGATGGCTACTGATTTTATCAATAATTTTATTAATAATTAATAAGTTGATACTAAACGTAGACAACGCTTATAAGTTTTCCTTAAAAATAATTTGCCTCATATGTATCATATACGTTAATATGCGCTGCCTCTATTGGTCATTCAGCCAAATATTGTAGAAAGATTGCTACTATACCGCTCACATTTCAGCGGGAATTGGCTCCACTGAGGACCACAGAATATATGGGTAGTTTCATATTAGCATGTTGACGGGTTTAAACAAGTAGCAAGCCCTTAATTTCTTACATGTGACATTCTTCGTATCAAGCTTATCAGGCGTCGTTATGACTAGTTAATCGTTAATTCATAAAACTGGCTATCCTCTTCGTCCCATCATCTCATCCGTATGTCAAATCGCGTCTCACTCACCAAATCGAGGCACAAGAAATGCGACAAAACGTCTGTCAGATATCAAGTCATCATGGTGATTATATATGATTCATTGTACACAGGTGATATTATCTTTTCTGTCGCTTATTACTCAATCAGGCATTAGTGAAAATCTGTTTCCAATGTTTATCATCGCCAAAGAATAACAATCTGATTCTAGCCTCTTGAGAAGCCAAGCCTTAACTTTTTCACAACTCTTTTTCGGAATCATACCCATTAAATACTACAGCTTTTGTAGCAATTATTTTTCCCACATTTTAAAAGCTCAGCCACGAGAAATATTTTAAAATTTCATTACGCCATTTACAATTTTTATTTTTAAATCAACAAACACTATTTAATTATAGGAAATATTTATATTGACTAAGAATTTGCAATCATGAAAAGTTTATGAATAGTTCAATTTCTCGAAAATTAGTCTTGGGAAAAGACGTGTAAAAGAAAAAGTCTATCTTCAAAACTATCTAACAGATTTAGATAACATCAACAAGTTAAAAGTAAAAATTGATACCCTTTCAAATAGTTGTTCCTAATAGATTTTAAGATAGCATCAATGAGATATTATAGAAGATCGCGTGAAACACTGTATTAGAATACTGAGAAAATATCCATTTCTTATAGTTCCATTTTCACAAGCCTTTCAAGAGTTTTGTAGGTTCTCGAGAGTTCTGGAACACATAAATGGCCCCTGAATATGGAGCTATGTGGAATGAATGCGAACTCCGACGATTCAGAATTCATTTTGAACCTTCCAGGACTCCCGAGATTAGCTCAGAAACTCATTTCGATTTTTGAAAGCTTTTGGAAAATTCATTTGCTAGAAACCGTTTTTTTGTCGGTTTGGAAAAATACGATTCTTTTTAGAGAGACGTATTAGACAGGCACTTAGCCATCATGACATGCAACTAATACACAAGATCACAGAGATAGGACAAGTAACATGTGCGCATTGTCTGAAAATACTCGTCCTTTTTAGATGCATTTTATTTTTATTTTGATGGTTTTAGACGCATTTTCTTCCGCATATGCTGGTGATACAGCAATAATTCTTGATGCACAACCATTTTCAGATAAAGTCGAAAAAAATGTTGAAGGTATATCAATGCAGCACCAATCAGTTTTGCATAGACAGGAAAATTGTCAAGATCTTGCTGTGTCTGTTTTGAAAGTTCGAGAACGAACACAAAGCCATAGCATCCTGCTGCGTTTTTAAACGACTACTGGCATTCTATTCGGAATCGGACGTAGTTGAAAGAATTCCAGTCAGGAGGGATGAACTTGAAAAATCTGTCAAAAGTACTGAACAGTGTGAGAAAATTAAGACCGAGTCTACACTTTTGACTGAAAACTTTTTTTGTAGACAAACTAGTTCAGTAGAGCAGACATTTCTGAACACAAGTCTGTTCGCATTTTCTATGTATAATAAAGCCGGCAAATGCGTCTTATGAGCCTTTTTAGACCTCCAGAATTCTTTTTGGTGGTGTAGTAGTGTCATTGTGTTATTGTTAGTATAGAATAATTTCAAAGTAAAGCAAAAATGTAAAATTTCTTAGAAATAGGCATGCAACAAGTCAAGACTCTTGACTTCATCTCCGGCTGACGTCAGGCACTGCATAAGCAAGCCGTGCTTGTCTTCAGTAGTACTTGAAGACAAGTACTGCTTGGCTTCAAGCATGCTTGTCGAATTGCAGAAAATTCATTTTTATGTTATATAAAATTTAGAAATAGAAACACTTTTGACCTCATTTCACTACACAGATGGTATTACTAGCAATGACTCATCTTTTCTTAGAGAACAGTTTCTATTGTCGTTTACAAATCTTTGGACTTTTTGTTAATCTGTCAGTCCTTCTTGAACAAGAGAAAGAACTGTATCGTTTAATTCATCAAATTTTGATCGATAGAAAAAGGTCCAGAAAATTCAAATGAATAATTCAGTGTATGTTCTTTTATTTTTTACCTCTCCTTTCGAGACTTGATTGGTATGAGAGAGATTTTTTTTATTCATGTAGGTAGGCGGTTTGATTTTTTGTTACGCGTGTGTTTATCTGTGTAAATAGTTGCTGATTATTTTTTGTTTGGAATTACATTTGTTTTTGTACTAGTTAGACTGCATCGTTAAGAAAAATTCAAGTGATCCAAAAGGAAAGAGGATAAAAGACAGAGCCTGCCGTGAAACAGTGAAAACAAATAAAGATTTGTTAGTAAGTGCTTACTCTCTAGGAAGCTTCCTCATTCTGCTCAACTTTGACAACAAGAAACGCTTCTTACTTTTAAAAAATAGTCAGTCTCTTATGTACGCATTTGTGTAACGAAAAAACGAAGTTTGTAGCAATAGTCAAGCATGACTGATTTCAAACAGTCCTTGAAGTTAAGCACCCCTTGACGGGAGATTGCTTGAAATTGAGCATCCTTGACTTGTTGCATGCCTAATTTGCAACATGAACTTAACAAATGATGTACATATAAAGAAATTTGTACCGAAAACTTTAAGTCAACAGACAAACGAAGAATCAGCGTTGAATCCTTGTTACATCTATTAATAATTAATATAATCTAAAGATGTCAACGTCACACAAATATTGAAACAGTTCGCAAGATACTATATGCATAGTTGTTGTTACAACAATATGATACCAAAAATCCATTCGTATGCTGTTGATAATAATCCGATATGGAGCGGATCGAGAAATTCGGGTAGCTACAGGCTAAATCTGCCCTACAAACTACCCTAGAACTATAAAAAACAAAGTGGATCGACTGGTTTTTCAGAAAACCTTTGAATATCTTTAAGTGAAATCTCAGTTTGGAAACATAATTCTAACATTCCTAAACTGTACAGTAAGCGAAAGCCATGCTTGACTTCAGTAGTACTTGAAGACAAGTACTGCTTGGCTGCAAGCATGCTTGTCGAATTGCAGAAAATTCATTTTTATATTATATAAAATTTAGAAATAGAAACATTTTAGACCTCATTTCGCTACACAGATAGTACAGTGGACCTCAATTGATTTGCACCCCTAGCCATTTTTGACGTTACTCTACAATAGTTTGATCCCTATGAGAGAGCGATATACAGAAAGAAAGAGCAGCTTCGGCCGCATCGAATGGTATATAACACCGGTATATCCGATCAACATTGGATGCTGGACAGAGAACGGAGAAAAAAGATGATGTATTTTTCACTACATTTCGCAATTCATCCGAGTTATATGAAAAGAAATAACTTGTTTATCCATCGGGTTGGTCATAGAAAAATATCAACTCCGTGTATACTAGCT